AGTAAAAAGTAGAACTGTATTTACAATAGTTAATGTCTGCAATATATCACTATTTATCTTCATCTAACTATGTCGAAATACAAATGTGCATATCAACTATCTGCTCACCACTCATTGCGTGCGTCTGTGGTGGCGCGTCTTCGTTGATTGATATAATGGTCTATATCAACCAATTAGGAACTACTCGTGAGTGCTGCAGACTGTTTGTCCTTATGACAATATTCTGAAAATATAACGCTTATAGTTATATTCTATTAACAATCTTTTATAACTTGTTTATAAAACGATTCACCCCGTTACAAGCACGATGTCCTCTTCACCAAACGATCAGACTCTGAGTGTGACTACTTCGGAATAGAGGAGGCAGTGGACTATGGTAGCGATACCAGTGTCCAGGGTGATACAGGGACAATGTCCGACTCACCGATTCCTGAGGCACAACCTTCGAATACCTCAAGTCCGTTCTCTGAACGTGGAGATGCGAGCGCGCCACTGGCGAGCATTCAACAATTGGTTCTGATGAAACTATCATCACGAACCCGCTCGATGAGCAACAACAATTGCTTGTCCAACAAGAAGAAAACGCTCAGTGTCATGCACAAATGGGTGCAACCCTTGAGCGCCAGCGTGACTATGTGTTCACTCCACCCAGTGTGGAGGAACGTCTACGTCAAGCGGCCGGCCAAACTCTGGAGACGTGGGTCATTGGCCATGGGCCTAAGACTCATAAGGAGTTGGTAAGCTGCCAGGCACTTCGTGAGAGGTACTGGAGCCGCACCTAACGACTCCAAGTCAATACAAGACACGCCTTGACATGCAAGCACGTGGTGCACCGGTTCCACCGATCAAGGTTATACCCATTCTCTTGTTCGCAGGCGAAACAGTGAGTGAATAAGACGCTGCCTGCGTTCGCTGGGTGCACCATGTACGTCGCCTCAGCAATATGTTTACCCTAAGGGCTAGTGTCAATGTGGCTGTTGTGCGTCTCGAACGCGAATTTCGGTATGATTATGCCAAGCTGAAGGCCAGAGGCCCATTGCGCAAGTGCACGCGCTATGCTTTAGCTACTAAGGTAGCCGCGAAAGCTGTTCAGTCTGTGACCAACAACCCGCCAACCCACACCACTAGTGGTGAAAAACGGCCTCGGTCTCCAGATGACCATGACCACGATGCTCAAAAGCATCCAAAGTATAAGGGCAGTCTTGCCGAAGGGGTATCTGAAACTTCCATGAGTTTTCAGACATAGGGTACCCTCGCCACTTTACCAGATACTGGTATTGGCCCTGACGACGACGTCGTTTCAGTAGTCTTTCGACATGAAACTGACGACACCCGTGCTCACCGAGCAAAGTCGGTGGAGGCCGGTGTACCGGTGGAGGCCCGAAGTGAAGGGTCTTTGAGAGACCTTAGGTAAGACCCAGTGCATGCTGGATGCAAAGCCCCCTTCAAGCGATGGAGCAAGCTCAAACCCGGAGCGAGGCTAAGTTGGACCTGCTAATCGTCTACAGCAATCCGGGGCAATGCCCTTGTCGTCGGCGCAAGCAACTCCATGTTCACATGAGAAGGATCCCGGTAAGGCTTAAGTAAGCCTACGTAGAACACTGGATGTGTGCGCAATTTGCGCGGGCGGTTTAGCGTATACGCAAGTCCCTTCTTGGCAGTGACCGTAAACGGCCCAATAAAGCGTGGACGCAAGTTAGTCTTTAAGGCAACAGACACTACATTTGTAGGTAGATTTTTAGCATTATGTAATACTTGGTCTCCGACCTCATGAGGTTCAATAAAATTTCTGCCTTTGGCATCAGCTTGTTGTTTTTGGGTGTCTTGGCTATCAGCCATTGCGTCACGCGCATGTCTTAAGACAATAAATCGCGTTGCGAAAACTCACCAACCTGTTTTTGAACAGTAGCAGGGCTGATATCAGCAAGCCGATCGGCAACCTCTCCCCCATCAAGCCCTGATTCACGTAGTGATAGCGTTAACGGAACGCGAGGGTGAGTGAGGCCGTTTATATAAAACGGAGTAAAGCCTGTGGAGGCATGAACAGCGTTATTTAACGCAAACTCAACAACAGGGAGCATTGAGCTCCAACGCCTAGGCGTATCAGCGCAAACACTGCTCAAAATGTCATTGATGACGCGGTTAACAAGCTCAGCTTAACCGTCGGTCTGCGGATGATCCGCAATGGACATGTCCAACCGAGTGCCCAGCACCTTAAAGAAAGACTGTCAAATCTCCAGTGAAGCGGGGGTCTCTATCAGAGACAATTGCCACAGGCAAGCCTTGTTGGCGAAACACACGGTCGATAAACAGCTTTGCTGTACCTTCAGCATCGATGCTATCCGGCACAGCCGCTAAGTGAGCCATCTTGCTCGATCGTTCAACAAAGACCACAATAACAGTGTTGCCTTCCAAGTCTTTCGGAAGGCCAAACACAAAATCCATGCTCAAGGACTCCCAACAACCAGTGGTTACTGGCAAACTAGCCAGCGGCGCCGCCGCATGTGCTGAGGGTTTAACCCGTTGACACGTTTCGCACGTACGCACATAGGTGCTCACCCACTTATAAAGTTTGGGCCACCAATAACTTTGGCTCACGGAGCTATAAGTTTTCTCACAACCGAGATGACCACTTAAGGCAGTATCATGTGCCTCATAGAGGATTCGGTACTTTAATTTCTCATCATGAGGTACAGCGATACGAGGGTTATCCTCAATATCCGTGCGATAGCACAACAGGCCATTATCGATGGAATATCGATGTAGCCTCGCACTTATACGTGCCGACAATTCTATGTCCGAATTTTTAAACTCATCGCTCCCAAGAGCATGTAGCAAAGCAACACACTGATCATCTTTGGCATATGCCGCACGGGTTAAGTCAGTGACTGACGACGACAGAGTCGTAACATGAGCAAGCTCATAGTCAGGTCGACGCGATAGCGCATCAGCCAAAGCATTTTTCTTACCTGGCTTGTACTTCACCTCGAAGTTAAATTCGGCAAAGAAGGAAATCAAACGAGCCATTTTCTGTGAGAGATGAGGCGACTGTGTCGCAGTTCGTAATGACACATGATCTGTATGGATCACAAACGGCTTTGAGCAAAGCAGATGTACTCTGAATTTGACAAGAGCGTACTTCATAGCAAGCAGCTCTTTGTCATGAACTGGATAGTTCTTTTCAGCAGCTTTCAGCTGCCGAGACTCAAATGCGATGACGCGTTCGCGTCCGTCGACATCTGTTTGTAACAGAGCACTGCCTATGGCAAAGTCAGATGCGTTACAGACGACACTGAAAGGCCGACCAGAATCGGGCAAAGCCAATATTGGCGCATGAAGGAGACTCTCCTTCACTGCTTCAAAAGCATCATGTTCGGTTTGACCCTAACACCAATCCACATCCTTTTTAAGGAGATTGAACAATGGCCGAGCCATATTTGCGTAATTTGCACTGTACTTATGTAATTAATTGGCAAGGCCAAGCCACATACGTAAGTCCTTTTGGTTTTGGGGACCGGCCAATCGACTATGGCTTTTAACTTAGCGGGATCCGCTCGAAGGCCTCGCTTCCCAATGAAGCCCTTTAGAAAGGATATCTCTTCTGCACCAAATATGCACTTTGACGCGTCAGCGTACAATTTTTTTTTGCGCATGCACTCGATCACCGCTCGTAAATGATCAATGTGGTTATTTACATCTGATCGCCCATTCATTGCACGGCTATGGACAAAAAATTCATCAAAGTACGTTTGTGCATAGCCTCGATGAGGTCTGAACAGTTGCGTTACCAGCCAGTTAAACGTAGCAGGGGCTTTAGATAGCCCTTTTGGCATAACAAGCCACTCCCAGAGCATACCGCTAGGAGAACTCACCGCTGTTAGTGGAATGTCACTTAATCGCATGAGCAGTTGATAATAACCATCGACTAAGTCGAGTGCACCGTACAATGTACATCGTACCATATTGTTCTGAAGAACATCCTTTCTAGGATTAGGCGTCTGCGCCGGTATAGTGGCTGCATTAAGCTTATTATAAGCATGCAAAATACGCCACTTGCCATTTGGCTTTTTGACACAAAATGTCGGTGTTGAATAAGGAGATTTACTCTCACGAACCATTCCAGCCGCGTGCTTAGCACGAAAGAAATCGTCAATGACATCACACTGTTCTTTAGGCAAAGGCCACTGCCGTGTTATGCAGTATTTAGTTCCAGGAACCAAGTCAATTTTATGACTTACACCTCTATAAAGAGGTAAGGCAGAAGGTGGGTTGTGACACACCACATCTTGAAAATCCTTAACTAAAGGATAGAACGGATCCAGAGAATCTTTAAGGATCGAAGATCCACTTCATGCACTAAGTGCCGCCTTTGTATCCTCTAGGACAGACTCATCCATAAACGAGGAAGAATTCAACTCAGTGTCAGGTCTAATGACCGCTTATTCGGATAACTCTCCTGCCTTTGAGGCCTGGCTTAAGTCGCCATCAGACACTTCGTCTAGCTCACACATAGCGTCCAAGGATGGAACGGTTTCAAGGCAAAGACTAACATCAGCCTGACCAGTCACTCCATTAACAAGTGTATATAGTGTATCACTATTATCACTATGTGACAGTGTGGACGCCTGGCGCTTAAAAGTTGCTACCCGGCGTATTTTGGGTTGACGGTTGAGGTACTGTTATCAGCTACCATGGAAACCGTAAACCTGTCCAAGTCGATCCCGCGTAATTACGGTGAGTTTTTACCAATGATTAGACGCATGGGATGATTGGATGACCTACATGATTTGTGATTCATGATTTATATGTGGACAACATATAAATCAGTGCAGAGATAATTCAGGTCGCTTTAACAAAACCCACAAATAAATTCACTTCCAAATATTCCTTCTCCTACACAAGTCGTCTTCACTTCGCAGTGTAGACTTCTTTCAAGCTCTTCAAGCTTCGTTCTCTCGCCCAGTGCTCGATAAATCGTACAGGTTATGAGCCCAAGCACGATGCCCTCTGCTCAAGATTCCGCCACCAAGATCTCTATCGATAGATTCGATGGAGACAACTACGCGACTTGGAGCCGCTACATGCGTGGCGTGTTCCTGACCAAGTCGACGTGGCACGTGATCAACCGAGAGACCAACCCCACCTTCGCCGATCCTCGCGCCAGTGATGAGTACGTCAAGACCAACAACATTGCGTTCGGCTTGATGTTACTTCACATGAGCGCGGACTATCATCACGTGGTTGATGACTGCGACGATGCATGGGTCGCGTGGACACAGTTGAAGATTCTCTACGGCGGGTCGCAGAAGGCGGGACGGATCTTCTTAAAGCGACAGCTTTTCAGCATGGAGATGGCGGAAGGCGGCAATGAAATGTATCATTGCAATGAAGTTTTTAACATCAGCGCCAAGCTCAGCAGCATCGGCGCCAAGATGGAGGATGAGGACGTGGCGATCTGCTTGTTGTGCAGCCTCCCCAAGAGCTACGAGAACGTCGTGCTGAACTTGGAGATGAGCAGCGCGGAACTGCGGACGCAAGACGTCGTGAAAGTGCTGACGAATGAGCACATCAAGAGACAAGGGAAATAGACGGCATCGGTGAGAACTGAAGAAGCGACCAAGGCCTTCAGTACCGAGCGTGAGGTTCGTCAGTGTACGTTCTGCGAAAAATTGGGGCACGCAGTGGAGAAGTGCTGTACCAAGCAGAAGGAAGACAATCGGGGAGCTCGACGCGGCGGTAATGCCCGTGGACGCGGAGCGAATTAAGTTTAGTGGCAAGGATACAACAGCAACAACAACTATGACCATGATCGAGTGGCGTTTGCTGTTTCGCTGGAATGCGAACTTTCAACGACCAAGAGCATGTCTGGAATATGGGCGATTGACAGCGGTGCAACACATCGCATCTGCTATTACAAGCCCGAGTTCGAATTTCTGGACGAGCGCAATGAAGGTGAAGTGTTGATTGCAGATGGGAACAAGGCTGCAATCAACGGTGTCGGGACAATCGTCAAAAAGGTGATCCTGTCCAACGGTGAAGAGCGCGAAGTCGAGATCAAGAACGCACTTTACGTCCCAAGCATGAACAATAACTTGCTTTCGATACCACAAATCAACAAAAGCGGCAAGTTTCAAGTGGTGTTTGATGGTGACGAGATGAAGATTTCGCACAAAGGCTCCAAGCAAGTAATGGCGATGGCCGATCTTGTGGATGGCCTCTACTGGCTTCGTACATCTCAACGATCCGTGAATGCGGCTTCAGGACCAATAGTCGAAAACCTCCATGCGCGTATGGGCCACGCACCGGTTGATGTCTTGTGCAGAATGGTCTTTAAGGGCATGATCAAGGATGCCAAGAAGCCAACAAAATTGAGTGGATCAAGCGTGTGTCAAGGTTGTCTAGAAGGAAAAATGGTTCAACGGCCGTTCCCAAGCAATCCAAACAAGTGCCACTATGATCCGTTTGAGCTTCTACACATCGACACTTGTGGTCCAATGGAAGTCGACTCGATAGGTGAAGCAAGTACTTGCCACTGATCGTCGATGAAGGCAGCGGATGTATGAAGGGTTTCAGTCTGCGCGCCAAGTCCGACAGCGAATAGTGCATCAAGAAGTACATCATGGCAGTACAGACGCAGTTTGACTACAAGGTCAAGTTCGTTCGACACGATGGTGCACGAGAATTTGCGGCGACTTCGCTCAAAGCATTTTACGATGATCAAGGAATCGAGCAGCAAGTTACCGTTCCATATGCGCATCAGACCAACGGCACGGCGGAACGGGCAATTCGTACCATTGTGACGATCGGGCGCAGCATGCTTCACTACGCCAAGCTGGACAAGTGTTTTTGGGCTGAAGCATCAATGACGGCGATCTACATCAAGAATCGCTTACCATCGCCCAAGTACCAAGATCAAACCCCGTTCGAGATCTTCAACGGATTTCGACCAAGTGTGAAGCACATGCGGGTTTTCGGCTGTCGAACATTTGTGCTGACCTTTAAGGAAAAGAGATCGAAGTGGGATCCGAAGGCTCGTGAAGGACTATTAGTGGGGTACGAAAAGTGTCAAAGGCATATCGCGTTTACGACATTGAAGCGGACCAAGTGGTGATATCTCGCGATGTCACATTCGACGAATCAACGTTTGGTTTCTCGCCGACGCTACCACAAATTATTGTTGATGACACTGCGCTGGATATCGAATCGATGAACATCAGCGATGAACCTCACCCTATGCAGTTCAAGCAAACTGGACAACGCAAAAGCCGTTCAAACAGTCAAGAACAAGTTCTACAACGGACACTTCCTGAGCGTCGTGGAACCGGGTTAGAAGAAGCAAGTGCCCCGGATGACTTTGAATCGCACCAAGCGAAGAGACGATCAAGCGCTCGAGACAATCTGGACAAAGAGCGAAAGGGCAGTGAAGAAGATAACGAGAATGCTAAACCTCAAGTGTTTTGACGAGCGAGTGCCAACGCAGTCGAAGGTACTGACTTGTCTGAGCCGACAACGTTTAAAGATGCTGTCGGTGGACCAGATCGAGTGCATTGGCGCAACGAAATATGTGCCGAGTTGGACTCGATGAAACTTCGTGGCGCGTTTCGAGCGACTAAACTGCCATCTGGACAGCATACCATTGGCACCAAGTGGGTATTCAAGATCAAACGAAAAGCTGATGGATCCATCGAGAAATACAAGGCGCGTCTCGTGGCAAAAGGGTTCAAGCAGAAATATGGCATCGACTACACGGAGACGTTTTCGCCGGTAGTCAAGTACGTGACGCTGCGCATGGTGGTTGCAATCACGAAGTACTTTGACTGGACACTGGACCAACTCGACGTGGTGACAGCTTTCCTTTACGGAGAAATGAAGGAAAAGGTGCTCTGAGCGATCCCAGAAGGAGTCGAAGTTGATGAAGACTTTGACTGCTTTGAACTGGTCAAGGCGATCTACGGACTAAAACAAGCATCGCGCGCATGGAGCGAGATTTTTCATGAATTCGTCTGCTCCATTGGATTTTAAGTCTCAGATTTTGACCCGTGTCTTTATCTTAAGATTACAAATGGCGAGTGCGTGCTTTTGCTGGTATACGTCGATGATGTGTTGGTGACTGGCAGCTCGACCGAACTGATTATGCGCACCAAGAGTGACTTGAAGGCGCGTTTCGAAATGACCGACAGCGGCAAGTGCGCATTCGTGTTGGGCATCAAGCTGGTGGACAACGACAACGGTAGCGTGACGATGTGCCAGCGACGCTACGTGGAAGATGTCCTCAAGCGTTTTGGCATGAGCGACTGCAAAGCCGCCACCAGCCCAACAGACATTAGTTCTCGACTCATACCAAGCACCGCAGCAACTAAAATCGACGCCCCGTTTCGTGAAGCAGTAGGCGCTTTGATGCACTTAATGATCGCGACACGACCGGATGTTGCCTTTGCTGTGAGTTACGTTTCGCGCTTCATGGAAAACCCCCAAGTCGAGCATTGGATGGCGGTCAAGCGCATTTTGCGATACTTACAAGGGACTAAGTCGCACCGTATCAGTTTCAAGTCTGATGACAAGATAGACTTCTGTGGCTACTCGGATGCAGACTGGGCCAGCGACCATGCAGACCGCAAGTCGACTGGGGATATGCGTTCATCCTGATGAGTGCTCCGGTGAGCTGGGTAAGCAAAAAGCAGTCAAGTGTGTCGCTGTCACCAGTAAAGCTGAGTACATTGCACTAAGTCTGGCGATTAAAGAAGGACAATGGGTGCATCGATTGCTGTGCGTGTAATGTGGTGAATCGTTACATATCAATTTGTAAGAAAATGTTGATAGAATATAACTATAAGAGTTATATTCTCAGAATATTGTCATAAGGACAAATATTCTGCAGCACTTACGAGTAGTTCCTAATTGGTTGATATAGGCCATTATATCAACCAACGAAGACGCGCCACGACGGACGCACGCAATGAGTGGTGAGCAGATAATTGATTTATACATTTGTATTTCGACATAGTTAGATGAGGAAAAAAAGTGATATATTGCAGACATTAACTATTGTAAATACAATTCTACTTTTTACTTTAACCAAGTACTCGCTTCTTCTTACCGTTTTCCTCTGCACGTACGAGTGTACGTGAAGTTCCGAGGCACCGCCTGATTCTGTCATCAGAATAAGTAGCTTGTACTGTTACCAGTACAAGCTTCAGGGTGCCCCGTTACACCTGGTAGCAATTCGTAGTCCGTCCAAGGACCACGTTCACATCTAACATGAATATGTTGGATGATGAAGATGACCAAAGCTTTCACGCTACGCGTGACGGCTACTCCCATTTGAGCGATGTCGAATGGGATGCGGTTGAACGAATGGGTTCAACCATGGGCATCCATGCTGTTAGCGTCATGCTAGAGGCTCTCAATAGAGATGCCCAACATGCTACTATCACCAAGTTCATTCAAAATGAACTTGACACAGAACGCGAGAAAGTAGGCCTTGCTTCACCAACAAGGTTCTAAACAAGCAGAGTTGTTGAGAGAACAGGGTGCTCAACAGTTTGAACTGTTGAGACAGCATCAGGCTGCTGCTGGTGGGTCGATGCACTCGCGTTGACCCGAGACCTTGAAGATTGACATCTCCAAGTATAGGGGAGTCGAAGAGGACTCTCTCTAAAGATGGTTTGTCGAATTGGATGACGCCATAAGGGCGCGTCGCATCGACGACGGGGATATGCAAGTTGCATTTGCCCAGTCAAATCTGGCAGGACGTGCCAAGACTTGGGATTTGGGACTCAAGCTGCACAACCCATATGCGTTTGGGTCGTTGGAAGACTTCAAGTAGCGGCTCAGACAAACGTTTGAACCGCCTAGAGCTGAGTTCAGAGCTCGAACCGAACTCTTGAAGCTCAAGCAGGGTAAGCGTGATGTGCACGCTTACGCGCAACATATACGACATCTCACGAGTTGTATAAGTTCCAACCCGGTGGATGAACGCACGTTGGTTTCGGTGTTCATGCAGGGTCTTGCAGATGGTCCCGTCAAGACTCACCTGTTCCGACTTGAACTAGATTCACTAGAACAAGCCATTTCCATTGCGGAACAGGAAGACTTCAGTCTGAGACAGGCTCGCGCCAGCTCGACATCATATCGTCAACCGAGACGATATGACAGCGGAGGTCCAGAGCCGATGGAACTCTGTTATGTAGAGAGCGAGAAGGCTCACTCTACAGACTACAAGAAGTTGCAGAAATGCAACAGATGTCAAAAGACAGGACACTACGCTTACGAGTGTAGTGCCCCTCGTCCAGTGTCTCACAACACTGGGCGTAGTGACCGTCCACCCATGAGAAAGGGGCAGGAACGCGGGTCTGCTGTTGGCGCAAAGACGCAACAACGGGATGGACCGTCAAAAATGGACAGGATCAGTAGGTGCGGAGCACCCTACTGGTCCAGCAACGCTCAAGAGAATTTGTAGACCTCTTGATGAAGGTTGCTCCCAACACACAAACGTTGTGCGTTGCTGCTCTAGGTAATGAGATCTCACTCATTACCTTGAAACTCGAAGTGACGAATAAGTTTTCCCTTCGAGCTCTAGTCGATTGTGGGGCGTCCAACAATTTTGTGCGACGCCAATCGCTAGAATATGGTCACTTTAAGTTCAGTGAATGTGACACACCTCCTACGAGGATGACGGTACGTCTTGCGACAGGTGCATCCGTACCGTCATGAAGCGTATAGTGAAGATCCACTATACGCTAGAAGATACCCAATATGACGACGACTTTATCGTATTGGATTTGGATGACAAATTTGATGTCATCCTTGAAATACCGTGGCTCAGAAGGTACGAACCACGGGTAAACTGGCAACATCGAACAGTAACGATGCCTGCCGCTTGTTCGTCAGATGGCCATCTGATGAACGTTTTGGAGCGTCCACAAGCGTGTGGATGTACTACGAGTGAGTGCGATGGCCTCACTTGTGGTACGGTCGTTAGTACGACTGCACAAAACCTTAGTGTACCAAACGGTTACACTTCGGAGCAAAGTTCCGGCGGCTGTGAGGAAAACACAGGCTGCGCCGAAGGTCCACCACTCGATTAAGTCGAGTGGACCGGGACAAAGATGTATCCCTAGCGGGGAACATCTAGAAGAGAAACAATCGATCGCTCAGGTTAAGCGAAACGATAATCCTAGATCGACTGGAGAGTCTTTCGTAGAGGATCTCGCTGTGGTTGCGCAACCCCAGCTAGAGGAAGTAAAGGGAATAAGTCCCAAGATTACAAATACGGCGGAAATAAGTTCCCCGAAACCCGCGGGAATAAGTCCCCGGGAAGCCGAAGGAATAAGTCCTTCGAGGCCTGAGGGAATAAGTCCCCAGGAAATGACAGAGACATTGAATGTCATAGTCAATAACGGATCAAGTGTAGGCGCTTATACACTTGATCTTATTGCGCCTCCGAAGTTGATTTCGGAGATCACTCAGTTGCCAACGCTTGAACACAAAAGGTTCTTGCGTGATCTGCGTAGTAGCAAAGTCAAGCAGATCTGCGTACCCGTCGCTGACGACGAGTGTGTAGCCGACATAAGGTCAGCAACAGTGTTCACTGAGAACGAGAGAGTTCTCAGTAGTTCATCTATGGACGAGAGTGTCCTAGATGAAAAGACACGAGTTGAGCGATATGACTCCCAATCGTGGGAATCGCTCAAGACAAATCCTCTCTATGAAGATTTGGTTGAATTCAAGGATGTATTCCCTGAAACTGTTCCGTGCGAATTACCGAAGGATAAAGGTATTCGACACGAGGTCGAGCTTAAACCAGGCTCGAAGTACTGTGTCATGAAGCAGTGGCCACTGCTTCGTGAACAAGCACTTGCGATCGACAAGTTCTTTGCCGATCGTTTAGCTGCGGGCCAAGTGAGGGAATCAACATCCCCACATAGCTCTCCGACCTTCTGTGTGCGAAAAGCAACAGGAGGGTGGCGGATAGTGCATGCATTTAACAAGTTGAATGCTGCAACGGTACCGGCTTGGACGCCGATACCGAGGAAGGACGTAATCATTGATGGTATGTCAAAGATAACCATCTTTTCGTCCATGGATTTGATGGATGGCTTCTATCAAATCCTTATGCGAGAACGGGATATACCCTATACCGCAGTTAGCACGCCTAGTGGCATGCTCTGGGAATGGCTAGTAATGCCACAAGGGCTTAGCAATGCCCCTGCCACGTTCAACAGATGTGTATCACATCTGTTGAGACCAGTACGAGAATTCGCGCCGAGTTATTTCGATGACATTTTCATCCATAGTCGGGCTATGGATGGAAAGTCGGAGGTTGAGGTTCACAGATACCACGTCCGACAGGTTCTTACAATCATGCGAAAGCATCAATTGTATGCAAACCTCAAGAAGTGTATATTTGCAGCAAGCGAAATACCACTTCTTGAGTGCATCGTTGGTAAGAACGGTGTACGTCCTGATCCCGAAAAGATCAAGGCGATCACCGACTGTCCTGTGCCGGTTGATGTCAAAGGTCTTCGTAAATTCCTTGGGCTAGCGGCGTATTTGCATAAGTATTCACGCAATTACGCCGAGATGACTGTGCACCTCTCTCGTTTGTTGAAAAAGTACGAGAGGTGGTTATGGAACGCTGAATGTCAGCGCTCCTTTGATGGTATCAAGCAGAGTTTGATACAATCCCCAGTCCTAGCAATAGCCGATCAGGACAGGCCATTTCATGTGGTCTGTGATGCCAGCGATTTCGCAATCGGCTGTGCATTAATGCAGTACGATCTTGAAGGCGTTGAACGCGTCGTCTGCTATCAGTCGCGTCAGCTGCAACCAGCTGAGCGGAACTATCCAGTGCATGACAAGGAACTCCTTGCCATGAAGTATGCACTCACGAAGTTCAGAGTCTATCTATTGGGAGATAGACCCTTCATTGTTTACACTGACCATGCGTCATTACGCACGGCAGTAAACAGCCCGCACCTTTCACAACGAATGGCGCGGTGGTTGTCATTCTTTGCAGAATACAACTTTACGGTCGAGTACAAACCAGGACGACTCAATGTCGTCGCTGATGCACTCTCACGTCGTCCCGACTTTGAACCAGTCGTGAAACCCAACAGTGAGACAGTCACTATTACGGTTATGGCGTCCTCAGTCCCATCTACAAAGTTGTATGATGATGTGAGGCGGGCATACGCCCAAGATGGTGAGATTGTGGAGTTGTTAACACATCTCTCACAGCCATCTCGAGAATCGTTGAAACGATTGTCGTCTGCGTATCGATCTGCATCAGATCGATACACTACTCGCAACGGATTACTGTATTATACAGCCGTTTCTGGCGACACACCACGTGTTGTCATTCTAGATGATACTGATCTACGTTTGCGGATCATGTTCGAGCATCACGATGCTCCTATAGGAGGTCATCGTGGCCGGGAGAAAACGTATCTCACGGTGAGTCGAGACTTTTACTGGCCCCGCCAGTATCAGTTTGTGCGAAAGTATGTTCGCGCATGCGAAGTCTGTCAACGAGTGAAGTCAAGTCCTTCACTGCGTGCACCTTTACAGCCTCTACCGGTTCCGGCTGAGTGCTGGGAATCCATCTCAATGGATTTCGTCTTCGGGTTACCCAAAGACGCACGCGG